GTCTCAATGCAGGGTTAGGTTCCTGAGCGTTCACATACATCACCATGGTATCATCATCGGTGATTTCCTCCTCCTCTTCTCAATTAACTGCTTCCTCTCGTACTCCAATTTCAGCTTATGTGGTAGCCACAGGTGGAGAAGTACTTGTGTCGGCCTGAGAACCGCTTTCAGATTCAGCACTGTCCCCCGAGTCATCTGCAGATTGGTTACCAGCAACAACATCAGTTTGACTTCTCGAGATTTCCCCGTTATCGGAACTACTACCTTTTTCTTCAGATTGGGGAGGAGAGTCCTGGAGAATAGCTCTCCTAGCCAATGATCTACTAGCCCGAGGCGAGTGATCTTCAGGTGTAACATTTATTTTCACCTCAGACCCACTTGCTTCGGAGTCGTCATGACCCTCTGATTGTGAAGCGGTGACGGGAGCAGGTTTGTTAGCATTCTTTCTTCTGGGACCCATTGTACCTGAGAAGCAACACACCAATTCAGTACCATCATCAATAAAACGACAAACTAGCAGGTACTTAGACTTCCCCTGTGTAATATCATTGTGACTCCTTGCCTTAAGAATATCATCGCCTAATCTATCATCGAGAAGGGCCACAAAATCATAATATTAACAAAAAATGGATACCAAAAAAAAATTAAAAATACAAACAAGGGCACTCTACGAGATCTTGAACGGGCCGTGGTATAAACCACAAACTGTGATGTCCCTCGTGGAGTTTAAACAGGATCAGAGTGCACAAGGAATCGTTGGCCAGTTAACCCAAGGGATGTTGACGGAAGGTTTCACGGCCCGTGGAGTGAACCACGGTCCGTGATACTGCTCGTGAACTTTAACTGAGGACCACAAAGGGTTGGATTGATTGCAAGTGTGGTCTACGACAAGTTGCACGACCCGTGATGTATTTCACGGTCCGTACAATTGGTCGTAGTCTTACACTGGGCAATAGGTCAGTCACCTTCTTCCCAACATCAAATTTTTGCACTTAATCCCCATAGTTGTACAAATGCAGGATGTTCTTATACTTTAAACCCTACCCTACTTCTTATTCAACTAAATTAAGTAACCTAAATTTCACCACCTAACCTACAAATTTGACCCCCTGTGATCGACCAACACACAAGAATAACTACAAATTTCCAATTTCGACTTACCCACTCCAATTAAGTAATAGTTAGCAATTAATCATCGCAAAAGCATGATGAAGTCAAGAAACTCGAAATCATTATAGGCAAGATGTAACGGTGCAAACCATTGAAAATCAACTTACTTGGATTGAAGAAACCAAAATCGAGAAATAGCTTGACACACTTGCACAACTGAGCACTTACGGTTTCGATTCTTGGGTAGATGTAGGATTTATTGATGAATGATGATCAATTTTTTATTTTTTATTTTTTATATATAGCCTTTATGGAGGAGAAGAAGAGAGAAACTGACGTTTTGCCCTTTGGAATCAATAAATACGTTTTAATTTATGAGTTGGGTTACGCGCGGTCAGGTCGGGTAATTCGTGTTATTGGGTAGTGGATTACGGGCCGTGAAACTTCCCGTGGAAGACATCACGGTTTGTGGATCTGTCTGTGACAATACCTTGGCAAAGAAACTTACCTGGTGCAGACGACGGACTATGAAGTTGCCCGTGAAAGGAATCAAGGTCCGTGAAACTATCTGTGATGTTAACTTGAATTGAGATTCCTACCTGAGGTTCATGAGAGGTTAGACGACTTGTACACTATATGACGGTCTGTGAACCCTATTTTATGCAATTTCCAGTAGCTTCCAAACTTAGTTCTCAATTTGACAGATTGTGACAGTGCCCGTGAAGAGCTTTACGGTTCGTTAGACCGACCGTGAAGTTCAGTCTGCACCAAGTCCTGCATTTTTCCCCTTATTCTCTCATGCACACATCAGCACACCGTGACTCTATAAAAATAAAGGAAATAAGGAAAAGGGAAACATACCTAATATAATTACATCTTGGGTTGCCTCCCAAGCAGCGCACAATTTAACGTCGCGGCGCGACGCAGGTTACTTGATTACTCAGACTTCATCTAGTTTACATTCCTCCACAATCTTCACATCCTCAGGAACACCCAAATATGCCTTGATTCGCTGACCATTAGCTTTGAACCTCTCGCCTTTCTCATTTTCTAGTTCAATAGCACCAGATTGAAAAACATGTGTGACCTTAAAAGGTCCAGACCATTTAGACCTCAGTTTTCCTGGAAACAGACGTAGTCTGGAGTTGAAAAGTAACACCAAGTCACCAGGAGTAAATATCCTTTTCTCAATATGCTTGTCATGATATAGCTTCATCCTCTCCTTATACAGTGCAGCCCTTTCATAGGCCTTCAGACGGAACTCATCCATCTCATTGATCTGATTTAGTCTCAAGTTTACGGTTTCGCTCCAATTTAGATACAGCTTCTTCAACGCCCATAGTGCTCCATGCTCAAGCTCAACTGACAAATGACACGCCTTTCCAAACACCAATTGATATGGAGACATACCAATAGGTGTCTTGAAAGCTGTCTGATATGCCCATAGGGCATCATCTAGCTTCCGTGCCCAATCTGTCATGTTGGCATTTACTGTCTTTGCCAAGATTGCTTTAATTTCTCTGTTGGAAACTTCCACTTGACCACTAGTCTATGGGTGATAAGGTGTTGCCACCTTGTGCTGTTTTACTCCATACTTGGTCAGAAGTGCACTAAAAACTTTGTTGCAGAAGTGAGACCCACCATCACTGATAATGGCTCTGGGTGTTCCAAATCTTGAGAAGATGTTCATTTTCAAGAGCCCAGAGACACTCTTTCCATCATTCTCAGGTAATGCAACAGCTCAACCCATTTGGACACATAGTCCACATCCACCAGTATATATTTCTTCCCATATGAACTCACAAAGGGACCCATGAAGTATCCTGTGAGCTGTTCGAGCACCACCATGATGACCGCCAACTAGAGATGAATGACAGGCCTCCAAAATGTGCAACATTTCGGCTTCCGAAACACACCACCTAATTATATTGTCAGCACACACCCTGTACAGATATGGTTCATCCTAAAAGTACTTGCCTACATCATGCAGGAACCTTTTTCTTTGTTGATATGTTAGTCCTTCAGGCATTAAATCACTGACCAAAAAATTAGCATAGTCAGCAAACCAAGGAATAAGGTCAAGAGTAGTAGCTAATACATGCTCATCCGGGAATGTGTCATCTATCTCGAGCTCAGTTTCTTCCTTCTTTGTAGCTTCCAACCTAGACAGGTGATCAACTACTTGGTTCTCACAACCTCTCCTGTCTTTCACTTTGAAGTCAAACTCTTGGAGAAGCAATACCCATCGGATCAACCTAGGCTTGGCATCTTTCTTTGCCATGAGATATCTCAAGGCAGCATGGTCTGTGTGAACTATCACCTTAGTGCCCAATAGATAAGCTCTGAACTTTTCAAAAGCATACACTACAGCCAATAGTTCTTGTTCAGTGACTGTGTAGTTTCGATGTGCCCCATTTAGCGACTTACTAGCATGGTAAATTGGATGGAACATCCTATTGAGCTTATGTCCCAACACAACTCCTAACACAGTCCCACTAGCATCACACATCACCTCAAATGGATCCGCCCAGTCTGGGCCAATAATCACTGGTGCTGAAATCAGCTTCTCTTTTAGGCACTCAAAAGCTTTAAGGCATGCCTCATCAAAGACAAATTTCACCTCATTCTCTAAAAGCTTGCACATGGGGTGTGCAATTTTGGTTAAGACTTTGATGAAATGCCTACAGAATCCGGCGTGTCCTAGGAAGCTTCGAACACCCATCACATAGATTGGCGGAGGTAATTTTTCAATCACCTCAATCTTAGCCTTGTCGACCTCAATTCCTTTCTGTGACACCTTGTGTCGAAGGACTATGCCCTCTTTTACCAAGAAATGGCACTTCTACCAATTTAGCACTAAGTTAGCTTCCTCACATCTCTGTAAAGCCCTGCTAAGATTCAACAAACAATCATCAAAAGTATCGCCTACTACAGAGAAGTCATCCATTAATACCTCTAGAGTGTCCTCAACCATGTCTGAAAAGATGGACATCATACACCTTTGAAATGTGGCTGGTGCATTACATAGTCCAAATGGCATGCGTTTAAACGCAAAGGTGCCATAAGGACATGTGAAGGTGGTCTTTTCCTGATCTTCAGGTGCAATTGATATCTGGTTGTACCCAGAGTATCTATCTAAGAAACAGTACCATCATTTACCTGCCAACCTGTCGAGCATCTGGTCCATGAAAGGCATGGGGAAATGATCCCTCAAAGTCCACTTGTTCAGCTTCCTATAATCCATGACACTCGCCATCCAGTTATCGGTCTCTGCGGGACTAAGTCATTCTTGGCATTTGCTACCACAATCATGCCTCTATTTTTAGGCACATATTGCACTGGACTGACCCAGTGGCTATCAGAGATAAGGTAGACCACCCCAGCATCTAACCATTTGATTATTTCTTTCTTAACCACCTCTTGCATAGGTGGGTTCAACCTTCATTGGTGTTCAATACTCGGGCTGTAGTCTTCCTCAAACTGAATCTTATGTGTGCAAATACCTGGAGGTATCCCAATTATATCAGCAATGGTCCATCCAATGGCTCTTTTGTATCTTTTTAGCACCTTGATCACCTCTTGTACCTGCTCTTCATTCAAATCTGCAGCCAATATCACAGGTAAAGTGTTATTAGTACCCAAGAATACATACTTGAGGTGAGTGGGTAACTGTTTCAGCTCTAACACTGGTGGCTCCTCAATGGATGGTTTCGCTAGAGGGCTTGGCCTGTTTTTCAAGTCCAAATCCAATTTCTTTGGAGTATACGAATGTGCTCCCATAACCTGCAAGGCATTCACTGTCTTTACATAATCAAACCGAAAATCAGCATCAAAGTTCATCAGTATTGCTGCTAGTGTTTCAACAGCCATTCTTTCTTCTATGGGTACCCTCATGTCTTCATCAGTGACCACTCTATTGCAGATATCACATTCATATCTCGTGGTTGTTTTATTGACCTGCAAATATTGAACCTTACCTCATCTGTGTTGAGTCTGAACTTCAACTCTCCTCTCTCAACATCCACTAAAGCTCTTTCCGTGGCCAAAAAGGGTCTTCCCAAGATTATGGGAACCTAAAAATCCACTTCGCAATCAAGAATCACAAAATCAACTGGAAAGATGAAAGTGTCCACCTTTACCAGTACATCACACAGGATTCCCACTGGCCTTTTTACTAACCTATCAAGCATCATCAACCTCATTGTTGTAGGTTTTAGTACTCCCAAACCTAACTTTTTATAAATGGCTAAAGGCATCAGATTTATGCTAGCTCCCAGATCACATAAAGCTTTTGCAAACTTGATTGACCCAATGGTGCATGGTATTGTGAATGCACCTGGATCCTCTTTTTTATGCACTAGAGATCTAGTAGCAATGGCACTGCAATGATGAACATCGTTAGAGAAATCATGACTTACAGCTCTTTTCTTGATGACCAAGTCTTTCATGAACTTGGCATATCCTGGCATCTGCTCTAGGGCTTCGACCAATGGAATGTTTACTGAAAGTTGTTTCAGCATGGTGATGAATTTCGTAAATTTTTTGTCTTCAGCTTTCTTTTTGAGCCTTTGAGGGAAAGGAGGAGGTGACCTAGGAATCTGTTGTAAGGGCAGGTGTTCCTGAACCTCTTTCTCTTTTCCTCTCGAAGGTTGTGCTTTAGGTTGAGATTGTTAAGCCTCTCCCAGATCATCTACATGTATATTCTTATCCTCTTCTCTGCTAGCTTGCTCCAAGACCTGTTCATACTTGGTACCTGCAGAAATAAGGTCAGAAAGAACTTTACCACTCCTGGTGGCGATGGCCATGCAGTGTCCGTCCTTCTTGGAATTTTGAATAGTATCACTTGGTAGTGATCCATTCTTTCTCTGATTCATTGAGGCTGAGAGTTACCCCAACTGCTGCTCTATTTGTTTAATGGAGGTGGTGTGGGAGTCCACTAACTGACTCATGCTCAAGAAGTCACCTCTCATTTCTTTCTCCCCTGCATTGGTTCACTCAACCTTCTGAAGTACCTTAGCCATCATGTCCTCAAGCTTAGACCCGCTAGAACTACCATTCGTCCGGTCTCTATTACCTGGAGGTACATATACACCACTGCAGTCATTCCTATACCCCTTTATGTTTTGCTAGTTTCCTTGATCTCTATGTGCTGGCCTTTCATACTGACTATCCCTAGCATAACTCCGACCTGCATTTCCAGAATTGTACCCCTGATTTCCAGAGTTATAATTCTGGAAACCTCCTTGATTCCCCAAATAGTAAGCTTCCTCATCAATGTCAAGATCCTGATCTTCATACCTATTTTGCTGTCCCACAACATTCACCTTTTCAGACTTGGCAACAATGTGCTTTGTGAGCAAGTCTATTTGAGTCCTCATATGTGCCATATCTTGGTCCATTTCTTCTTCTCTCTTCCTTTGTTCAGCTGAAAGCTCAAATGTATACCCAAGCTCTCCTACCTCTGCATCTCTAGTGTACCATGCTCTGTTGTTCTTTGAGACCTCATCTAATAGTTGCATGCTCTTTGCAAATGGCTTCCTCATAAATGAGCCTCCACAAACTGCATCAACAACAGGTTTATTAACAAAATTCAGAGACCTACAAAAGGCCTGTTTAAGATGTCTTTCGGTAAGATCATGGTTGGGGCATTTCTTCATCTTTTTGTTGAACCTCTACCAAGTATCATCCATTATTTCTCCTGGTAGCTGCTTATGTGTACTAATCTCGTCCTTCATCTGTAGCTCTTTTGATTCTGGGAAGAATCCTTCCAAGAAAGCTTCCTTCAACTCATTTCAAGTTCTGATGGAGTCATCTGGCATCTCATTCAACCAGTTAGTCGCCTCTCCAGTAAGAGACAATGGAAACAACCTCAATCTCATTGTTGTTTGGTTTACCCCAGGAATCTTTTGTGACTTATAGATCCACAAAGTTCATCAAGTGATGATTCGCATCATCACCAGTTGCACCCCTAAACATACCTTTAAGGTTCAACAATTGAATCATAGTGCTGGTGATTGTGAACTTAACACCTGAAGGTAGTGCAGGTAACACTATCGCTCCAGTGGCTCCAGCTCCATCCAAATTTCCATCATCTTCATCATACATCATGTACGCTGGATGTTGAGGTCTACCCCTTGGATCTATTGGTTGGCGCTGGGGAGGGATCAATCCATCCACTCCTCTATTCTCATCTACCACCCTAGGTTAGTTGTTACCGCCGTTCTGCTGAACACCTCTTGCAGCGGCTTCAACTTCTAGTCCCAACCTTTGTCTTTGTGCCTCCAGTTCTTGTGCATTCACCATTTTTCGAAGAGTCTTTTCGAGTTCTAAGTCGTAAGGGATCAATGGAACTCTTTTACTCTTAGTACTTGGCATACACAGTAGCACTCACCTGAGAGAGACACAAATACAGAACAAAACGTAAAATTAGGAAATATAACTACAAATTGAATAAAAGCTAGTAAAACACTTCTGAATTGAAATTCCCCGGCAGCGGCGCCAAAAATTTGATACGTCCAAACTTACACTCCAAATAAGGAGTGTAAACGGTCGTTGTCAATTTACAGAACTCAACCAGAGTTGAGGTCGATCCCACAGAGAATTTCTTTACAGATAAAGTTTCACTATCGCATTTACTCAATTGTTGTTACTATTTCCTAAACAATTAACAAGGAAAGTAAAATTGGGTTTAATTGCAAAGTATTCTATCAGCAAGCACTTCCAGTCAAAACTTAGTTACACGGTTCACAAAAGATCTCGTTGTAAGTTGATTCAATTAATTTAAAGAAACCAGGTTTTGTGTTCACTATGACATCAACTATAATGCTCTCCCGTAAATTGAGTGTCAAGTAAATTAATGTTTACAGACTATTTGTGAATTAAATAAAACTAGCGCTTCTCAGCCTAATTAGATAATATTCACTCTAATTCTCTCGAAGTTAAGTGTTATCGATATTGGACTTCGCTTAATTTGATATGGTGTTAAAGATCCCTTCTCTCGAAATCCAACTTTAACTCCGATTCGTAAACTTAGTTTAGCTTTTTCCCAACTGATGCTTTTCTCTCGAACAAACACCAGATACAGGCCTGTCTAAAGCGTGCACTCAATAGACTAAAATGATAATGAAAGCTGTAAACTACAAGTTCTAAACAAAGATTGCCTTTTACTCATTTTACGAAATCGCAACTAGAATATCATTATAGATCCCACACACCCAGTCGTGATGTTTAGCCACTCATGTTCTTATGCAAAGAATCAATAATAGATAATGAAAACATGTTAAGAATTACTTACAAAAATAATTGGTAAACCAACAACCACTTGATAATCTCAAGATCGAAATGAACAACATCCGATGACAATAATCTGAATCCAAAATCTAAAACTAAAGTTTTTTCTCTGTTCCTCGTCGTGAAACGTCAGATAACACCTAATAATTCACAAAAATGACCTAAAGTAATTCAAAATAGAATGTTCAAAATGAGTCATAATCAAGTTAGGACTGAGTTGTCGGGCCTTGTCACGGCCACTACCACGACTCGTCAAGGGCTTCACGGATCGTGAAGCCCTCCGTGGTCTTGCCTTAGAGCTTCCCCAGAGTGGGTCTTCAAACTTGGTCACTGGAAAATGTACCACGAGAGACACCACGGTCCGTAGTGAGGACCACGGCCCGTGAAGTCACCCGTGGTCTTTACTTGGGTTTCAACCTTCTTTCAACTCTTTCTTGCTTTTATACTGGTTCAGCTTCACGGTAGGTACCACGGTTCGTGGTAAGAACAACGGCCCGTATAACCCTCCGTGATCTTCACTTCGTTATTCTTGCTCTTCATCTTCTCAAGGCCCAGTTCTTCCCCACTTTCACGAGCTCAACCACGGACCGCCACAAAGTTAACGGTTCGTGAAGTTGGCTGTGAACTTCACTTGGGCCAACATCAGTTCTGCTTCTTTTTCTGTACAACCCAGATTTTGCCTACACATTTAACAAGCCCATCAAATAATCCCAAAATATCACTTAATTCCAGTATTAGTTCATAGTTATTAAGCATCAAATATGCCACGATTTCATGGCACATCAGGCATTAGTCAGCCCAAAGGACATCACTAGGAACTCATAATGGCCATAACGAGTCCTAAATGAGGTTTTAGGGATATCCGCTGCCCTAATCCTCGACTGATGGTACCCGAACCTCGAGTCAATCATAGAAAACATAACAGCTCCCTGGAGCTGATCAAGCAAGTCGTCAATGTGAGGCAAAGGGTAACGGTTCTTCATCGTCACCTTGTTTAGCTGCCTGTAATCAATACACATCTGCATAGTATCGTCCTTCTTCATCACAAACAGGACTGGGACCCCAAGGTGATACACTAGGCCAAACGAATCCCTTACCCAAGAGATCCTGAAGTTGAACACTGAGGTTCTTGAGCTCTGCGGGGCCATACGATACAATAAGATAGAAATAGGACGCGTACCCGGCTCCAAGTGAATGGCGAAATCAATATCACGATCTGGGGGTAGGCCAAGCAGGTCGACAGGAAACACATCAACAAACTCTCGGACTACAGGCACTGAATCAACTGTAGGGTCCTCCCTACTAACATCTCTAACATTAGCCAAGCAAACCAAACATCAGCTAGCCACTAACCTTCGAGCCTGAATGCAAGAAATCACCCCAACCAGCATGCGACTACAAGAGCCACGCCATACCACCGGCGGAATACCAGGCATGACTAGGGTAACGGTCTTGGCATAGCAATCCAAAACCGCCCAGTGAGGGTATAACCAGTCTATGGCCAGAATCATGTCGAATTCCAAGATATCAAGTAAAATAAGATCAGCCCGAGTGTCTCGCCCCTGAATAGTCACCAAACAAGATCTAAAAATCTGATCCACTATTAAAGAATCACCAACCGAGGTCAAAATGTGTAACATCACTGCTAAGGGCTCAGGGCTCATACTCAATCGAGAAGAGCAATAAGCAGACACATAGGAATAAGAGTGAAACAAATGAGATTCCATGAAACCAATTTAGACATACGATGCACGAAAATGATACAAAACATGGAATCTTCCTAACGACATCATGTAGCCTCCCGAAGATAAGTCACAGACATCTCCGCACCGATCCACAGGACTCCACTAGACGTTAGCTCTGTACAAGTGAGATAGGTGAACATGTGGCTCTGATACCAACTTGTCACGACCCGATTCCTTGAGCTGTGATGGCACTTACTATATCCCACCAGTATGTAAGTCAACTCGAAACCCAGAACAACTAGTAGTGGGTAAAAGGGCAGAAACCAAGTGGCAGAAACAATAACAACAAAAAGGAATAAGGCAAGCCAAAAGAATACATACATAAGAACTGAATCCCTCCCAGAACCTGGAAGTCACAAGTACAGAGCCATACTAAGAGTACAAGTCCCAAAAGTGGACCAACATACAAAAATATACGCAACTACAAAGGACATGTCTCAAATACAAAAGACGAGCCACAAAATATATGTACAGAAGGAGACAACGATGATCAGGACGTTGTGCTCACCCTCGCCTCCGGATGATGGCTACTATTGGCCTAAATGGAGGCGCTGATGACTAGTGCTTGGTCCTGCATCACGAAAATAGATGTAGAATGTAGTATGAGTACCAGTGAAAAGGTAACCAGTAGGCATCATAGGCCAACTGAGTGAGAAAGGTAAAAGCAATAGGAAATTCTAGAATAAAACACATGCAAAGGTCACGAACAAGAAAAGTAAAGGTATGCACATGAGTGTAAGGCAAACAAACCTAAGGTACTACTTTAACTGGGCCCTATAAGCCCAGGAGGTACACTCGTGCACAAATTGAAGTAAAAACCCGAACGGACCCCCATAAGC